GTAGTACACTGTAATACCATTTAGTGCATACATATGCAGAATAGTAGACTAAGGGAAACTGGTTAATTCAGGTTGGACCTATAACTAGAAAATTAGCACTTTAAACCCTTTTTACTTATTAATAGCTTCAATATTAAAATAAATTATTACATCAAAGGTTTAAACATTTTACTCATTTAACATGTATTAATCTTTTAAAAAAAAAATACAAATGATTACTTCTTTCAAATGAGTATAGTAACCAAAAAGACATTAAAGAAAGATAGTGTTCAAATGTGGATTGAAATCTATTAAACATCTTGCCATTATCATAAAAACGATCATAGTAAAAGAATATGATCTCTAATGTATGAAAACAAAAAGAAATATAGAGAAAAATAATATCTCCCATAGATTTTTTTAATCCTACAGGATCAAGTTCAAACCTTTGAGTCAAATAGTCAATACCCTCTCCAGTGGTTCTCAACCTTCTGGCCCTTTAAATACAGTTCCTCATGTTGTGACCCAACCATAAAATTATTTTCGTTGCTACTTCATAACTGTAATGTTGCTACTGTTATGAATCGTAATGTAAATATCTGATATGCAGGATGGTCTTAGGCGACCCCTGTGAAAGGGTCGTTCGACCTCCAAAAGGGTCGCGACCCACAGGTTGAGAACCGCTGCAAAACCCTGTTTCCTGCTGATATTCTCAAATCATAACTCCTAATAGTCTCATACGTGAAATATTTTCTTTAGAACTCTTTGGTCACCAATCTCAGATGAATTCTTACCTCTGTATTATAAAAAACACTCACTGTTCTCTGCCTCTTTTCTCCTTCTTTTCTAACTTTCATGAATCCTATATCTCTAGTAGAGAAAATTTATGGAAACACTTCATGAAGCCATATGCAAACAATTCAACTCCAAAGTACCTACTGGAACAAGATATTTGCAGCAAAAATAATCAATATATGACTAGGATCCTAAGAATGTATTAAAAATTCCTACAAATTAATATAAAAAATTTAATTGTGTTTAATCTATATTCCCCAAAAGCAGGTGTTTAGAATATAATTCAAGCAGTATATTTAGGAGTTGGTCTCAGGAAATACTTACAGAGGGTGTGTTGTCAAGCTCTTCACTAGTGTGGACCATTGAACCTTGATCTCTCGGGGGAGCTCTGGCAAATAGTGCGAGACACCTGTGAGGGAGCTGAGCTGTTATGCTCCTGCCAGTCATTAGTTGAGGACTGTCCCTCAGGGACATTAACCTCATGTAACCAGGGGTATAACTTAAATAATCTCTTGTACAAAAGGGTATATGTTCAATAATATTCACAGATGGAATGCTTATAATAGAAAACAAACAAGACACCAGAAACAACTGTAATGTTCTTTAAAAGAAGAATAATACATGCATCATAATATACTCATACAACAGGATACTATGCAATGGTGATCGGTCATCTACATCAAAATGGATGAATTTCACCTATTATGCCAATTTTTCTGCTTCTCCTTCTACCCCCGGGACATTTATATCTCAGTTTCACTGTGTCAAAATATTCATAGTATAAGTGGATTTATATAATGTCCAGAAAACATACAGAATCATTACTTTTTTTAAGTATTTAAAGAGGTATAGTAAAAACTTTTTAAAACTTTTAACAAAACAGAATAGTAAACATCATTCAGGAATTTGTGGGGCAAATAGAAAAATGTAGTCAGGGAGGGGCACCCAGAGGATTTTAAAGGTACTTGTTATTTGTTAAATTATATCATGGGTTACACATATTAATTTATGTACAGAAAACATTTTATAACAAAAGATTGGATATAAGAAGAAAAACCATGGAGTGAAACTGAAATACAATGTCCCAGGGGTAGGAGGAGAAGCAGGAAAAGAGGTCTACTAGAAGCCAAGAAGGAGAGAACAATTAATGATGGCAACTGTTGCTAGGCAGTGTGGGATGCAAAGTGAAATGAAGTTAGTGGAATTGGGACTTAAGTCAGAAGGCTTTGGTGACTGCAGTTTCAGTAACCGAGTTGGGGCATGTGTCAGAAAACAATGCCTCAAGACGTAGTAAAAGGCCTGTGGATAGGTAGCTCTTTAAATAATCCTGCCAGTAAATGCAAGTAGGGAGATAGGTCATTATTTGAGGGGCAGGACAATTTGAACACTATTTAGGAGTATATTTTTAAAAGAGCATAATCTCTTCTAGACCATGGATTAAAGGCATTGAAATCTTTAAATAGAAATTTAATTATAGGAAAAAAAGTCAACATCCTTTTAGGAAAAAGTATCCTGGAAAATCTTTGGGTTAAATGTTTTTGGTGAAAAAGATGTAAATATTTTAAATAATTATTTTATCTAACTGGAAAATTTTCCCCAAAGGATATTTTCTCAACTCTTGATGACTCCTAAAGCCTTTAGGATTCTGTTTATTATTGTTTCCATGTTCTTGCTAATTTTCAGTGAATAAGAATTAGACCAACTTGAATTATAGGAGACATGCATGATGAGCCTACTTTAAAAAAAATTATCAATTAAGGGGACAAAGACTCCTTCCTTTTCATATTGGGCAGCTTTATTCATCATTATAACAAAATGTAGGCAAATTTTAATGATTACCTGAAAGAGTAAGTAGATAGCCTAGCCTGACTATATATGTGAGTGTTCCATTGATAAAGAACATTACATTTAAAATTTAAAAAACATGGCATACAACTTGAAAATTCCACTTAATAAAGTCTTGCTGGTGTGCATAAGGTTAGGGCAACACTGAGTGATGCTGTTGGCTTTTGCAGTGACATAATCTCAGCATAGTGGAGCGGCAAGGAGGTGGGTGACTGCCATTTACTTTAATAGCAGGAAAACTTTTCAAGCTGTAACAACATGCTCAATAAATTCTTCCATTACTGTAACACCAAAGGAGAGTTGAAAAATGTATTACACTTCTAGTTTTTTCCTTAGAGATATATATTCTTGTTCTGTTTCTATGGCAACATTGATGCAGTAACTAAACCTTTAACTTCTCTCTAGACTCCCTGATGGCTTCACACAGCTTCTAAACCTGACCCAGCTCTATCTGAATGACGCCTTTCTTGAATTTCTTCCAGCCAATTTTGGAAGGTAAGAATAAAAAATTTAAATGATTTCATTTTATTTCACTTTAGGTAAGTACTTTACCTGAGCCAGTTGGTGAAGCTTTAAAAGTGATAAACCTCATTATTATTCAGTAAATGAGACAATATTAACCTATGAAGCATTTTGCAAAAAATAAAGTAAAATTAGGTCATTAATAATCAAATAGCCCAGCCGATGTTGCTCAGTGGTTGGATGTCAACCCATGAACCAAGAGGTCCCTGGTTCAATTTCTAGTCAGGGCACATGCAGGGTTGTGGGCTCCATCCCTGGTGGGGGGCATACAGGAGGTAGCTGATCAATGATGTCTCTCTCATTGATGTTTCTATCTCTCTATCCTTCTCCCTTTCTCTTTCTATTAAAAAAAGAAAATATTTTTAAAAATAATATATATGTATTTCCCTTTTTAAAAAATAATCAAATAAATTGCATGTGTTAAATATTAAAAAATTTAAAAGATATGAAAAAATACACATGAATATTTATGGCTCTTGAGTTGGAAAATACCTTTATAGAATACAAACAAAGGAAAATATAAATGGATACATAGATGTTAGTACATAAACACTTTTAAAATAAAATAACATCAGAAGATATTTAACAATTAAGGAAAAACAATAAACTGGAAAATATTTCCACCATATATGGTAAGCAAATTATATCCTTAACTATAAAGAATTCTTACATATGAGTTTGAAGGCAAAAATTTCATTAGAAAAAAATGGATAAATGACATGTACAAGCAATCCATAATAAAGTACAAATTTCCAATGAATGCATGAAAAATGGTTAGCCTCACAAATAGTAAAAATAATACAAATCAAAATGACAATAAAGCTCCATTGTGTTCTAGCATGTTACAGAGGAAAGATATCCTCATTCTGCTTATGGAATTGCAGAATGATATGAGCTGTGTACAAGGCAGTGTGACTTAAAAGGTTTGAAAATATTTACAACCACTGCTTCTGCCATTCATTTCTAGAAATGCATCATATCATCATCAAATATCATACTAGGATTTATGGACAAGAATATTTATCATTATTTACAATATGAATAAAGTGGAAGCACACATCCATCTAGGGAGATGGGTTAAATATATTAAGTTGCATCTACATGACAGTCTGTGGAGATTTATAATACTGTATATGGAAATATGTTTATAGATCATATGATACATTATATTTAGGAAAATATTATAACAAAATATATAAACTACATTCACAATATGAATATAAATAGACATGAAATAAAAGACTGGTTCCTTGGAAGTAAAATTAGGGAAAATTTTATTTTCATCTCTATATTTATAATATTTTCCAGGTATTCTGCAATACATCTTTTTTCTCCAATTTTCTTTGAAATAAATTATACACAGCACTATACAAGTTTAAGGTGTACAGAATGATCATTTGACTTACATATCTTGTGAAATGATAACCACAATAAGTTTAGTTAACAATCATCACCTCATATAATTACAAAAAATGTTTTTTTCCATGAGTTTTTTTTTGTGTGTGTGTGTGTGGGAGGGAATCTCGGCGGGGGGGGGGAGGGAGAGGAGATTTCTCATATAAATATGATCATACCATATTTCTCTGTCCAGCTTACTTACCTCAGGCTCCATCCATTTTGTCACAAATGGCAGTTGGTCCTTTTTTGGCTGAATAGTATTTCATTATATGTATTTACATTTAATTTATCTATTAAGCTATTGACGGAGACTTAGGTTGTTTTCATGTCTTGGCTATTGCAAATATGAAAAATATATCTTAAAAGTTAAGACAATTTAAGTTTATTAACTGCGTTTTCCTAAGTGATCATCATTGAAAGCGCTCAAATAGACTGAGTATAACTTGACACGGATCTGTTGGCAGAAGCTAGTGCAGATGTTCAGAACTCTGGAATAATGATGTGCCTTAGCATGTAGTAGCCCCATCTGCATATGGATTGTATAACATTTCCCAAATTCCCTGCAGATCAGTTCACAGCATCTACAAACACCCTGTTCTTGGACAGTTTTTAAAGTTCACAGATCTTCAAAAGAGTATTTACCTGGCTTCTGAATGAGCTAGTGCTTCACCATTCATTCATCTAAATTAACATTGTCCTTCTGGTAGTGAGCACAACTGCAACTATGCTTTTGATTTATCAAATGAGAAAATGTCTAATTGTCACCTGAAGAAACTCTTTTGTCTTGAATTTTTTTCAGTTCTCTTTTAGCAGTCCTAATATGAGGGAAGAGATTTGGCAAATAGAAAACACAATACCAAAATTTAAACCACTTGGAATTAGATTTTAATTTTGTGTAAATCACATGCCAAAATATGGTATATTTTATTATTGTTATCTAAACAGTTTTTTAACCTTCAGTTGGATAGTTTGTCAAAAGGATGCTTAAAATCCCTTTCAAAACCTGAGATTCATGTTCCTAAGAGCCAAAATAAGTCACAAAATATCATCACACTAGTACAAATATTGAAACGATTTGAGACATATAAATGTTTAAGAAATCTTTTCTACTAGCAATATATCCATGTGCTGGAGAACTGAATCACTTTATTTCATATAGAGATTAAGAGTTATATGATTAAAATTAAATTAGAAATTTGATAGGAGTCAAAACAGAAAAGAAATGGGAAGAGACCTTGATGAATATACAAAAGCACAGTAAATATGGACAATTGTAGGTGAAATCATTCAAATAGTGAATTATTCCCCAAACACTAAAAATTCATAAAATTCATTTACTGTTGCTCTAAAGAATCCTCAACTGAGTACATTTTAAAACTCAGTTATAGACATTAGTGACAAAAGTGCCCCAGGCTGCATACCTTAACAAGTACTTAGGTGTGAAATGCATTCCTAATCACGTGTTACACAGCAACAGAAACTGTGAGCATCTTTTACCTCCTCCAGGATTTCCCCAACCCCAGTACTGTCACAGGACAGATGATGCTATAGATTTTTCATGTACATCCACTTCCAAAATGCTAAGATGTTCATCTTAGAGTCAATGAAATATGGTATATTAGTTAGATTGCTTTTTCCACTATCCAATTATTGATAATAGTAATATCTAACACATATTAAAACTTGCAATGTGCCAGGCATTATGCTTTACCTGTGTGACATTATTTAAGATTCAAAACTCTATACTTTATGGTACTGTTATCACAAACTCATTACAGAGAAGGAAGCTTAAGTTAGATGGGGTTAATTTGCCCAGAGTCACAGAGGTAGAGTATGAGAGTCTGGATTTCATCTAGATCTGTCTGACCATAAAATTCAAGCTCTTGCCCTAACCGGTTTTCCTCAGTGGATAGAGCATTGGCCTGCGGACTGAAGGGTCCCAGGTTCGATTCCAGTCAAGGGCATGTACCTTGGTTGCGGGCACATCCACAGTAGGGAGTGTGCAGGAGGCAGCTGATCGATGTTTCTCTCTCATTGATGTTTCTAACTCTCTATCCCTCTCCCTTCCTCTCTGTAAAAAATCAATAAAATATATTTTAAAAACAAACAAACAAAAAAAACTCAAGCTCTTAACCACTATGCTATTTTATTTTCTTTACAAGTTAATGTATAGTCTTTTGAGAGAAAGTGTTGCCATGTTCCAGTGAACATAGCACTTGGAATTTAGTAGATAGTCAATAGTCTGTTGAACATATAAAATTAAACAGTGAATATATTTTTATAAAACATGAAATGTAGAAGTGATATCTTTGAAAGATATTTATTTCCTGGAAATTTTGATTTTACAAATTACTTGTCAAATTTGCTTTTGACAAATGATATTCGTTATTGTCTAATGTTGATATGACCCTATTCATAATCAATTTGTATAATTCTTTAAAATCTGTAATGAAGGTATATAATGTTGAACATAGTTGTTTTGATAATATACATAGTGATTATTGACTGTACCATAGTAACATTGTTTTATAGAAAAAAATAAGAAGCAATTTTTAAATTTATTTCTATAGACTTGTCAAATTACGGATCTTGGAGTTAAGAGAAAATCACCTGAAAACTCTACCAAAGTAAGTGACTGTGTATTTTCTAAATTTTGAATTGTGATTTTTTTCATTAGTATTAAAAAAGTGACTATTTTTATTTTGGCTATGCTTTGCCATTTTGATTGAGTGAATTTTTCTATATTTTTTCCTGGAGACTGAAAAGTATTATATACTGTAAGAGTTATGCATTAAGTAAGAATGAATCCTGCCTTACAAAATCATATAGTTACAAGGTGGGGAGAGTCCATTTATGGTTCATATTATAGTTAAACTAACACATCAGGAATGTTAGTCTGTCAATTTCATTGAAACTTATGAAATTGTTATTTTTAAGCACAGAAACAATCAAGAGTTTCAAAAAGGTTCAACCCAATATGATGCTGAATGTTTCAAGTTATTTTATGGATTGTGATAGTTTTTAGTTTTTAAATCAAGACTATGCAAAAATATTACATAAAATGATTACTTTTTTTCTAGAGATCCTAAAATGGTTTGGAGAAAATTTATATTTATTCATTCTTTCAAACTGTGCCTTTTTACTAGTTTATTTAAATTTTGGTTTATATAAAAACACAAGATATTTTATGAAAAAACAAATAACTAAAATGTTATGCAATGTTTACTTTAATAAAATGCTTTGCTTTACCCTGCCTTGACCTATTCATGTCTAATAATAGAATTTTGTGTTGTACAGAAAAAAATGTTTTTGAAAAACAAAAATTATTCAAAATGTAGTTTTTACTCAAATAAATTAATATGATATGTATATGTTATAACTAACTTATTGAAAGTACCATGGCTATTATTACCTTCCTGTAATATTGCAGAAAAAGATTGAGTACAGTGTTTCATTCTTCAAAAATCAGCAAGACTTAGAGACCTTTTCTCTGCTAACAATTGTATTTTTTACTTTCTAAAATCTTTCCGCTAAGCAAACGGTACTGAATTCCATTGATTTTTTAACCAATATTTCAATAAAATACCTTAAGTACATTTTATGTATGCTATAATGTATAAAAAATTTTGTCAATTCAAGACTTTCAATAGTGATATTGATTTCATTTAAATATATACATAGAGATAAAACATCTATTCATTCCTCCATAAATGGAAGAAGACAAGGAGAGAACATGAAAAGGAGGAAATATCCCTATATCTAGCTACCCTGAACTTTTGAGTAGCCTTTCTCTAAGCGAAAGCATTAGGCATAAGTCTAATGAGAGGCATCTCTTCCAGGTTGGAGACATAAACAGAGAGGGGAGAATGATAGTGTTACTGGTTCAGCATCAATCTCCTGTAAATGCACTTGGTGCCACCATTTCCATGCTAAGGGCTTTAAATGTTACATTTAACATAGAATGGAAACATGGCTAAGCAAAAACTGACCCACGGGAAATAGCATTGTCCCCTTCATCTAATATATATGTTTAGATCAAGTCTCCTTGAACATACTGAGTGTGTGAAGGAGAATCCTTTCTTCTGGTCTCAAATAATGGTTTTGATGTGAAATATAAAACAAATCTAATATAAGATGTCAGGTTTTTAAGTATATTTTTAACATATAAATTTTAAATATAAATTAAAGCCTGACCTTAGATTGCATTTATGGACTTTATAAGAGATAGCTGTTAAAACAGTTCAGAGTCATGAGTAACAATGCTCATAATTGGTGCATAGGTATTGTGTAGGCTTTGAGACTATGGTCCAGTATCAAACAATTAAAATAAGTAGAGTAATATGCATTCAACTATGTTTGGCCTAAAAAACATTGTAAAGATGTATAGAAGTAACACCGGGTCTCTTTGGTAGACAGATATGCATGTATGACTTGTATAGATGTTACAGTTTTTACATTTAAAAACATGTTCAAGTCATTTTCAATCTTGTGTGTTCATTTTTTACCTTATAGACAAAAATATAAAGAATCAAAATATGCATAAAATAGGAGAACTGTATCTTAGGTTTTAGTGTCTATAAAATGAGAATTGAAGACAGAAATTCTGTCTTAAATAAAAATAAACTGTGTTTTCACTATGTATTATACCCCAATCTAGACCTGTAACTGAGATATGTGAGAGTTTTCTACTCTTCTTACTTCGTACCTCCAATGAAAATAAAGGAAGAAATTTAGTTTTAGGAAAAACAACTTAGTTTTATAATAATTCCTCCAAGAAGAGATAGTGCATAATTTTCTCAAGGAAACAAATAAGATGCCAAGTCTTCAGTGGGTTCTTAGTGATTTCTCTTTATCTTCTGTCTTAAAAATCTATATGTCTGACAATCTGTGCCAAAGGTAAAAATGTGTAAGAATTATGATATGCCATCCATTCAAATGCATATCCCTTACATAAACTGGTAGAGACATTCTGATATATGCAGATTCTTGAACAATTCTTTCAGTTATTACCTAGAAGTCAGTATCATAAATTTTTACACTGTTTTGTGATCATTCCTTTAGATATCAATGAGTGAGGAAATTAAATTTCTCAGATACACATTTCCTAAAAAATAATTGAAACAGTCAGTCTTGATTATGAGTAATAATTGAGGATGTTGAACTGAAGAAACTAGATAACCAAAAAGAAAAATCTTTAGATTTCAAGATACAACTTTTCCTCATAGCAGAATTATTCTCCAAATTATGGTTTTTGAAGGCAAGCCAGAAATGAGTTAGTTCTCATTTTGACAATTTTTCACTAGCTATTTCTCTATCTGGAATTCTCTTACCACAAGTCATTGCATGGCTAGATCTTCCTTATTCTTTACACTTTCCTGAGATGTGGCCCTCAGAGCTTTCCCTGGTCACATCATATAATATTGTCCCCTCTTAGCCTTCACACTGTCTCACTCTTACATTTGACTTTCTTCATAGCATTTAAGGTTCTCTGAATTATTGCAACCCTGTTTACTTGGAGATGATATTCTCAGGAGAACCAAAGTTCCATTAAGAAGAGGGTTTATTTTTTTTATGTCACTGCTGAATCTCAGAACCTAAAGCAGTGCTTGGCACACAGTGAGCACTCAATACATAAACAAGAATACTGACATAGTGATTCAAATAAAGAAATACCTCTCACGTGACCTGGAAAACGTATAAGTTGGTTTTTCCCCATAGAAAATTATATAGGATAATAAATATTATGATTAGATGGGTCTTTGGTGAGCATCAAACAGAAGAGGACAAAGATAAATGATTGAGGGGATGAGGGCTTCTCAAAAGCTGATAGCTGAGCCTTAAATTTTAAATTTACACTCACACACACACACACACACACATACATATTCTCTCTCTCAGTTTGTTTCAAGTTAAACATTATATAGCTAAGGAATGACAAGAGAGGAGACTAATTTCAAATTAATAAAATTAATACTTATAACAACTAAAAATATCTAAAAATAGTATATCTTATTTCTTTTCTCTTGTCATTAAAATGTGATACATTTAGTCAAGAAACAGAATATATGTCAAGATAACAAGGAAAGGATAAGATCATTTTTTTAAATGAAAATTAGGAACCATTTCTGTGGAAGTAACATATCAGCATATAAATTGTTAGTTATAATTGCAGGTTTTACCCTTAAGTAAAAGTTTTTTCATATTCATGAGAAGAATTTTTCTAATACCTTAGTTAAAATTTGGGCTGTCCATCATGGCTAAGACTAACCGGAGCTAAAATATGATTTGATGTAACTGTGTCTATAATAATTTTCAAAATATGAAGTAATATGAAGAAAAGTAAACACAGATTAAGCTAATATTTGTCCTTCTGTATTTGTCCTTCTGAGTGTAAAAGGCTTAAAAAGTGTGATTCCTCAATCTGCTGTCCTAATACAATGACTGAGAGGAATATTTCAGACACATTTCAGCAGAATTACTGGGGCAATACCAGGCGATAGAGTAAACCCTGATGAACAAATCTAAAGGGGAAAACTAGATGGATTTGGTGGATAAGGAACTCTTAAAAATTGTTGGAAAAAGGAATTTAGAGTGTAGGTTATAAATATGAAGTAGTAACAACTTTGTTGGGGGGATCATGAACCCTTCCAAGAAGCTAAAAAGAGTAGTGGAATCTAGAAAAGCATTATTTGTAAAATTCCAGCTGTATCTATTTCCAATAATTTTGTGGCCCACTGTGAGTTTTCACAAAAAGTAGATTATTTGGCATGTTATGTAAAATAAGCCACATCAGAATACATAGTATACTATGAAAGAGCACCAAAAATAGGAAACGACGCTGTCAGTTTTAAAGTACCAAAATTTATCAAGTGTATAATTTTAATTATATAAATATTGGTTCAAAAGAGAATGTTTTATTGAGCAAAATTTCATTTGGTTCATAAATAGAACTATATTTCACTATCATCTATGAAATTTTTTGAACTCTCCATAGAAAACATTATTAAGGAATAATTTAAAGAAAACATTTCCCAAGTACACGCATGAATAATACTCTAAAACTACTAAGCTATATGTGCTTGAAAACTAGTAAATAGTGTATCCATTATACATGATTTTATTCCTTAGGCGCCATTGTTTTTATTTAGTGATTCCCCCCCCTGGCAACAAAGGTTCAGAAACTCTACAGTATTTCTCTTCTCTGAATGCCTACCGACCCACACACATATTCACAGGTGTCAAAACGTTACACCTTATCTAGCCGTACTCTAAGAGAAAAGATCCCCTTGAATTATAAATATAAATCAAAACCAGAGCTACAGTAAAACACTACCAATGAAAGACATTAGATCATGAAAGTCAAGAAAGTCATAATAGTTAAGAACTATTTCAGATTGAAGAAGACTAGAGACACACTAACTAAAAATAGTTATCTGAATTGTTTATTTTTCTAAAAAAAATTATTGAGACAACTGGCAATACTTGCATGGGATCTGAGGACTGAATGATAGTCATGTATCAGTGCTGATTTCCTAATTTGGATGGCTGCATTTTGGTTTGGTAGGAGGATGTTCTAGTTTCTAGCAAATACACACTGCTATTTGGGGATGATGGGCTACCAGGTTTG